GAAAGTGCAAAGTGTGACTTAAAAAATCACTTGCGTACATTACAAACTCAATTATGAAGCTGGTGCATCAGAGCGTTTACTTTGAAACATCACTGTTCCATCAATTAGAATACATTCCATCATATGCATCAAATTCTGTGAATGATCTCCAGCTTGTGGAAGACTAACTTCATGAGGAGCTCGCTGATGTCCTCCAGCTTGCTCATGTTGGGGAACTTCTCCTGCATGAGCTTCTTCACCCCTCGACTCATGCCCACAGGCACCACCTTCAAGCTGCTGCAGGAGGACATGGAGAGGGTTAGCGGAGACTGTAAGAAACCTCACAAAATAGCATTTGTTTGAAGATGCATCAGTGCGTTTACTTTGAAAACAATCACAGGAAAGTCATGTTTAGAAGTTGCATCATGTGCACCTTTCAATTGGAGACAAGAAAACAAAGCCAAGCTACTTACTAATGACGAAACTCCACCTCTTGGGACACGGGATCATAATTTAACAGCACACATCTTTTTATGCTGTTGAGGTTGAGCTGAGAAACGAGAGTTAAATGATCAAAACATGCACAAATCTTCATATCTTCTCACCACCAAGAGGACAACAACATCAGCTGGTTGTACACATCACAAATGTCAGAAGACTATACTTGCATCACATGTGGAGAAACATTTTATAGTTCTGGGCGAGTGAATTACCTTGTGTACGTTTATCGAGGGGAACATGTTCTGGAACATGGTGGCCATCAGCTTGATGTGCATGCCCTCGATGCCAAAATTATTCAGCACTAGCAAAGGATGATGGGAAAACTGCTGTTCATGCATCCTGTGCCTCTTTAAAGACGAAACTACATCTTTGCTGAGGGTATACTGGAACAAAGAGACCATTTACTTTTAGAACAAATTACAAGAATGTTCATAATATAATCAGTGTGAGACTAGACACATCAGTGCGTTTACTTTGAAGAGACATCACTCAACAGTCAAAATACTAAAATGTCATCATTTGTGCCCTCGGATATGAGAAATCAAAGACAGGTCAAAAGTAGTGCAGTTATATACCTTCGCAACACGGAAATATAATGTTGGACCTTTGGGAAGACGTGCAAGCCTCTGTGGAGAAAGAAAGAGTCATTTTAGGTGTTAATATATCTGATCTCAAAAAGAATGAGATGTAGAAGACATACTATGTATGTACTACATACTACAAAGTCATAGTCTTGAGTGCCGCATCGCTACTATCAAATTGTTAGTACACAATAACATTTATGAACTCAAACTGTAAAGCATGACACTAGCCAATGCCAAGGTCATGGGTTTGATTCCCAGGGAAAGCAAGAAGTGATAAAAATGCTCTGGATGAATGCATCTGCCAAATGTCATTAAAGTCACAATGCAAGGAAATACTGACATCTTTTCTTTTGCATTGTGACATACATTCAAGTGAAACAGATTATCATAAAAAAAAAAATGCTTGGCAGGGACATGGTTCTATGCATCGGTTAGCTGATTGGATGGAGGCAGGTGTGAACTTGCTTGAGCTTGCAGTTGATTAAGAAAGGAGCAAAGTTTAAGTAAAGAAGTCCGGCATATGTCATCAGAAAGAGGACTGTCGATTTCATTGGAAGATTGAGTTAAGACATTTATTAAAAATAAGGTAAATTTTGTTTTTTTAAATATGAAAAAAAAAAAAAACATGCATTCAAACATTCAAAATAGGGTTATTTTTCATTTCATGCAGCCTTTAACGGGATAGCTCGCACATAAATAAAAAGTCTGTTATCATTTACTCACCCTTCCCTTGTTCCAAACCTGTATGAGTTTCTTTTCTCTGTTGAACACACAAAAAGACATTTTAATGAACGCTGGTAACCAAACAGTTGATGGTAGCCATTCCAACTATGGACATCAATGGCTACAGTCAACTGTTTTGTTACCAATGTTCTTCAAAATATCTTCTTTTGAGTTCAAAAGAATCTCATACAGGTTTAGAACAACTTGAGAGCAGGGGCCGGTGGGGGGGTGGGGGGCAGTGCCCCCTGTCAACAAGCATGGCCCCCCCTTTGGCCCCCCTAAATTTGGAATCATTTCACAGCAAACAATTTAGGGTGAAATGCGCAGTTTGTCCTGTAAACTATATATATATATATATATATATATATACACTGCGCATTACAACCAATCACATACGATTCTGTTGAGTTTATGAATGCAAGGACCAATCAGAGGCGTTCAGATGAGTCATT